TGATTATATAAATTCTAATTCACAATTAACTAATAGCATGGCTCCTTACAAATTATTACTCATTTTTAAACTGTAAATAGAGACTATATTTCCTTAAGATATTGTAGCAAATTTTTCATATTTGCTTACATAAAGAAATTCAATAAGTTAAGTTTTAAAATCAAAAGAAAAAGCTATACGATTATCATGATAATTGATAACTTAAAGATTAGTATCACTTTAACAAAGAAGGTGAGAGGAATCTGCTATATCCATGATTCTATTTAATTTAGATTTAAATCCAATTAATTTTCTTTCTGGATAAGGTACATAATTTTCTCCTAAAGTCCAAATAATAGCATAGTTTTCATCACTTAAAGATGCTAATCTTGTTCCTCTATTTTATTTTAAAATTAATAATTAACAAACAGGTTTAGTATGTTGAATATAAGTATTAGGATAGAAACTAACTCTACTTGTAGTCATATCTAATAATTTAACAGTTCCATCTGCTAATCCTAAAGCAACAGATTAATTACTAACTAAAGCTAATGAAGTTACTAAAAATTCAATGCTTAATTTTTTTTTGATTTTGAAACGTTAATTGGAATGATTCTAAAATATTATTAAATTAAAATTACTTTAGACTAATTGATATCTTCAATTATTCTATTATCTAATATTTAAACATTAATATTTGGAATAATAGTAACAGGAGGTTATAATTAACTTTAAAAAGAGATCTTAGTATCTACTGCTGAAATAACTGTTTTATTATCATCCAACATTGTCACTTTATCAGCATTTGATACATCCATGGATTTACTTTTAATTGGAGGTGATGATATAGCTTAAATAGTAGGATGTATATTTGGTTATTATTGAATTTCTATTGGTGTTTGATTTGGAATACTAATATTCTTGATGTAATAGTCTTTGATTGAATTCATAGTATCAGTTAATAATTTAGTGAAATTCTCATTATTATATTATAATTCTTAAGCCTTTTTTACATTATCTAATACTAATTTTAATTAATCAGGTTTCTTTATAATCTACATTTATTTGATTGACACTTTAACTTATGATCCTAAATCAGGTTTAGTATGTAATTTTTACTATTATAAAGATTAACTTTACTTTTAAATTATTCTCATTTGCATAATATTTACATTTTGTTATAAGAAAATGAATAGGTTCTAGTTGTTCTTTCAGTATAAAAAAATTGTTTTTGTATATTTTGAGATATTGATCTAACTTACTTGATAGCTCTGTTTTATGCAATTCAAAAAGTAATGTGATTGATTCTAAGGCTTAATTGATATCAGACTCAATCTATTGCTTTTATGATCTTACATATCCTTCCATATTATTCAAATGTTCATCTGATAACAAAATTTATTAGACAATTTAAGATTCTTTATTGAAGAGATCAATATATTTGTTAGAATCATGAACTTACTCTTCAATTTATTTACTCATCAATGTTACGTATTGTTGGTAGGGTATTAAATATTGATTATGTTTTGTATGTTGACAAATGGTTTTTTAATCTATCATACACTCTTTACACATGAAAGGGAATACAGAGCAATCTAAATCAATACAAGCTTGTATAACTTGTTATTTGTGTTATGGACAGATTAAATTAACATTCATATTAAAAATATATATATTAATACATTCACGAATCTCTTTGTTCTTTTTATCCTTTAATATATCCAGTAGGATAGAATAACTTTTCTAATCGTTCTTATTACATAAATGGATCATTATCTTCATAACCTATATTAAAGATATAATTTGTAAATAATACCATATAATCTATAAGTGTTAATTTCTCCATGAGCATCACCTGTAACTAGGATTGGACTATTTTAAGCAAATCTAATCATTGTTTTAGCTGGCCAAACCTATTATTCTTATGGCATTAGTGTTGCAAAAGGATCTAACATATTATTTTTTGTCAAATCCCATAATTCTAATCTTCCATCTTTACATACTGAAGCAAATAAAGTAGAAGTATAAGGGGACCATTCAAAATCTAAAACTTCATCTTGTAAATTTTATTACTTAATAAACAGAATTATATACTTAAAAATTTGCTTTTGGCAATTCTTCTCTCCAATTCCAAAGTTTACATGACCAATCTGCACTACATGTTAAAAAGAAATCACTAAAAAATGGATTACATCTCACTTTGTATACAGGACCAGAATGACCAAAATAATTATCTAAATATTGCTCTGTATATGATTTTGAACATCTATGTATACTACCATCTTCTGTTGCTGCTAAATACATAGAAGATTCTCTAAATAATAATAAAATTTAATAATTATACCCTTATAAAAAGTCAAATGAAAATCCTGCTGATAATCTAAAATTGACTCCTTCTGATAAATTTTCTTTTTAAGATGATTAAACAACTCTTTTTAAATTCATTAAATTTGTATATTCTAATCCTTTTTTCATTGACCATTCTGCAATTCTACTATCACTACTTATACTAACTAAAGATTCTCCTTTTTCAGTTCCTTTAGCACCTTTACCAATCCACTAAACTTCCCAAACAGAATCACTATGTTTTCCTGCTAATTCCTTATTTTCTGTAATAGGCTTATCTGATTTTCTTCTTATATCCCAAACTGCAACAATACCATCCATTGTACCTGCAGCAATAAGATTAGGTTAACTATTTGAGAATTTACAACAATTTATTTTTGAAGGATAAGTAATAATCCTTTCAGGATATGTAGGATTCTTTAAAGTCCAAAACATTATATGTCCTTCAGAAGTTTAATAGTTTTAATAAGAAACAGCTAATAAATCTTTATTAACAGGATTCCAATCTGCTTAAGTAACTTTACATTAATCACTTAAAGCACATTTATATTAGAAAAGTTAGACTATAGGTTCTTGTTATTTCTTTACTACAACTTCTTCCTCTTCTTATTTATTTTAAAATGCTCTTTTAAAAACTCCACCTCTCTATTTTAAATCTTCATCCAAAGTCATCTTTTCAAATTTAACTTCTGGATAATTTCTATATTAAATATATTGTTTATGAAATAGATTCTAATTTAGAATTCTTTCAACATATTTTAAATTTGTTTAAATCTAATTACTTTGAAATATAACTTATTCAGCTTCAGCCATTTAAGTATTATTCTTTTTAATTAATTCTTTCATAAATTCTTCTTCCTTTAAATCTTATTCGTCTTGTTTCATTTCATATTACTTCTGTTACTATTCTGGTAAAGGATTACTAGTTTTACCATGACTTCTTGTAACTTATTATTAAATATTCACTTATTAAGATAGTAAATTTTTTGTACCAGTATGACTTGAACTGGAATCTTACATTTTTTCATCTAATTATTAATTTGTATATCCTCCAGATAAATTATTAAGTGGTTAACTCTATTTAGTAGAAGCTATGCCAGTTTTAGTTTTATTTGTTTACTTTTCAGAGTAATCTCTACCTAATATAGGTCTTTCAGTATGAATTTTAATTGCTTCCAATTCAGTGGGTAATAAAAAATATGGGTTCTTAAGATGTTATTTATATTCTTTATCAATACAATTTTTAATATCTTCTTATAATACTTCAAATTCATTCATTTAATCAGTAATTTATGCATCATAAAGATCCCAAATTGCAGCAAATGCAGCTTATTCATTTTTCTCTATTTTATTTGATTATTGTATTTTATGTTTTTAAATATAATTTAAAGTTTATGCATGTCTTTTAGTATAATTATCACTACCAATCTTTTCAATCATATATTTCTCATAATTTTAGGTTTTTTAAACAACACCATTTTTTTTACCTTATTCACTATTAATATATGATGATGGTATAAATAATAACTACATTGTACAAGTTTCAGATAAATTTATGGGAATATTTTCATCTAAATCTTCATCTTTCAAACCTTTTTTTTGTTTAGTTTTTTTTTCTTAGAGTTCTGATTAATCTCTTTTAGAATCTGAATCAGATTATGTTCCTTCAGATTATTTAGAATCCATAAAACTACTACGTTCTGGATTATTAGATGATGAAATCTTTACATCTGAGTTAGATGATTTATCCTAGTTATAAAATTAAATTATACTGCACTTTAATAATAGGACTTCACATTACTCTCAGCAACACTTTAACTAACTTTAGTTTCATTCTATTTTTGTAATACCTTCAAACGCTACTCCTCTTCTCGATTCTATTGCTCTGCAAGTTATAAATATTTTTTTGTAACAAGCCTGATTAATTGAAGAATCTTACTCTTTTGGAGTTACAATTGCATCTTTATACTTTACAACAATATTGTCTGATGCTGATTATTGTGTATCAATGTTAGTTTTTGGTGGTCCTAATTAAGTTTTACCGCCTCCTAAATTAACTTGCCTATTTATACAGAAAACCAAAACCTTTTCTACGTTGTAATATTGCTACGAATATTTGATTTTGTGACACCTGCTTTCAATCCTTCAGACCCAACAGATTACATCTATTATTTAATGAATTTAATATAAAAAGATTAGCATATACACTATTTTATCATTTTAAATTAAGACTATTGATTTTAACACTTTCTACTATCATGATGTTTAAATTATGAATTATAATATTTTACAAGGTTTCAATCATTATATTTAACTTATTTATTCAATTGATTTTATAATATTTTCATATATTTCATATTAATATCTTATGTATCTTATTTCCTTCACTTACATAGAATTCATTTCCTTTTCTATAAGTATATTTAATTTTGTGTACAAATATCTAATTTTAAACAATAAACCATTTATTATTATCTTCTTTTTTTATCCAAATCAATAAATTACCATTAAAATCATAGTTTATCAAATATTCATTAAAATACAATAAGTTTGATATTCCATATTCATTATGATTAATCTATTCAAAACATTGCCCATTTTTTCTATCAATAAATTATATACAATTTTGAAATTAAACAATTATATACTTTAAACCATAAAATTAAATGGCCATAATTTATTTTGAATGAACTGGAATTACTTAAAACTCTTCCCATTATTATTCTAAATATTTCCATAAAATCAATTATTTATCTTCCCCTCCACTACATAATACTGTATTGTCATTATTTAAAACTATAGCATAGACTGGTCCTACATGCCGATTAAGTGTTTATATGCATTTTATTGAATCATCATGCTTAAACCAAATTTTAATTGTAGAATCCTCACTACATGTTACTATAATATTTTCTAATTCACTTGTTGTTACATTCCAAATATAATTTAAGTGTTCTTATTTTATCTAATTTTGAATCCATATATTCTATTACTTCTTCCATAATCTTATATTACTATCCATACTTATTGATATGAACCAATCTTCTTTCTTACTATAATATATGTGATGAACAGAAGAATTGTGATGTTATAAATGTTAATTTAATTCCCAATTTCCTTTTTCATCTTTCTAATAAACAACTAGATTATCTTAAATTCCTTCTCCTTTATCTTATAAACCAATAATTAATATTGATTCATCATGATTCATTCCAAATGATAAGATATTTTAATTTGATTATATAACCTGATGAGAGTGTTTTTAATATTTGTTATGATGATGATGATGATGCTCTTACTATTATTATATGCGTTATTGTATTAAATGTTCAATTTACTTATTGCAATTGATATTTCTAAAGAATTATAATAAGAGTTCTAAATCTGTGAATTTTTATTAGATATATTATTTGTGATTAGAAGTAACTATTTTATTAAAATCAAGAATAAATTGATCATCTTCAATAACAATATTTTCTGCTAATAATTATCCTAATTCTTATAAATCCTTTAATGATAATGTCGATTCAGGTACTAAATAATAATCGAATTTTTCTTTTTAATTTATTATAGGATGTATAAAATTATCTAATTCTCTTTTAAAATGTTCTAATTCATCTATGATTTATTGTTTAAGTGTGTTATATTATTGATTGATATGTTATATGAATTGAGTTGTTGTTTATAAATGCTTTTCATTAATTTAATGTCTTTATGGTAAAGTTTCAACTTCTTCAATGTTTAATTTAAATCCATCATTTGAACATTTTTTACAAAGTACTCTTTAATTAAGAGGACAATGTTTTTCAATATTAAATGAAATAATCTTTTCCTTATGAATAGGACAATGAATTAATTGTTAATGTAATTTTAACATTTTAATATAATATAGGATGATAAATCACAAATGTTAATGTTTTGTAATAGGTACAAATTTAAAATTCTTTAAACCAGGTATTGTAATTTGTCCATCAATAATAACATTATCATTACCCCATTCAAAACTAGTCCATTTAAGTTTTTCAAAGATGAGTTTCTTAAATTCTTTTGGTAAAGGAACCTAATATAATAAATATAATAATATTATACTCCATATTTTTGCAATAATTCAATATCTGATTATTAGGGTATGATTATTTCAGAGATCATAAATACTTAAGAATCTAAAAAGACTTCTTCAGCAATTTTATTAGAATCCATAGAAATTTCATATCTAAAATAAATATAAATTGAAATACTTTTTATTACTAGTTTCAATATATAAACAATTAGTTTTTAATCTATAAGATGTTCTACTAGGTATACCTTAAGAAGTTTATCTATCTAAAAAAGTAAGTAGATTATATTTTTGACTAGGTTCATTACACATATCCCAAACAATCCAACCTTCATTGAAAGGAGGTAGATTATTTACTAATAAACTTTCCGGTAAAGTATTTTATGTAGGTTCATGTAAAAATACATTTAAATGAGTTTTTTTTGTCAGTCTTCTATTGAGAGGTAATGACATTTTTTTAGCCCAACTTATTAATTATTCAGGAGATCCTAATTACGGTAGCCAATTAACTTTTTCAGGTTTAAGACAATGAGCACAAGGAGTTTTAAGAGATCTTGAAAGTAATGGTACTTTTAATTAACCATTTAATGATTTCTTTCCTTTAATTACTTTACAAGATAAACTAATTCCTTAATAGAATGTTCCTGTTAATTTAAGATCTCCAAGAGCTAAAAGACCTGCATGTATACCAATACAGACTGCATCACTATGACTAGCATATACACCATTAGATCCCCAAATTTATCTTAGAATTAATGCTTGATTGTTTTTATTTACATATTCACAAGCTATTCTAATTTCTATTGTTTAATTGATAAAATTTGATAAATTAGGTAATTCAGCACCAGGTTTATATAAAAATGTTGTTGCCGCCGGAGTACATATAGAATTAGGTTTCTTTAATTTATTTTCTCTACGGTTGAATCTACCAGGACCCAATAAAGGTTATTGTTTTATTTTTTATCTTATACCTAATATACATTCAAATTTAGATTACCTTCATATTAAGATACATCTTCATCATCCATTTGACTATCATATTCATCTGAAATATTCTTCTTTTTTTTATCTCTATAAGGTCTTTTTGTATTACGCTTTTGAGAAGAACTCTTCGATGATGAACTACTATGAGATAAGTTTAACATTTTAATTGTTTAATATTTATTTTTATCACTCTTTATTGAAATTCAATAATTTTGCCAAATCATTACAGAATTGTTTCTAATCATACTTTTGTATTTTTGAATTATTCTTTACCAAACTTTCTACTAATTTCTCTTATCTCTTTTATTTTAAATCATCATCTAATAACAAAGAAACAACAACTCCTTCATCTTTAGCTCTTCCTGTTCTTCCTGATCGTTAATAATAACTTAAATTTATTTATTATTATACCTTTCTTCTTTAAAATCTCCTGCTGGAGTTATTGGTAATCCATAATGAATAATTACTCTCACTTTTCTAAAATCCATTCCTCTTTATAATACATCTGTACAAAGTAGAATCTTCTTTTTTCCATCTTTAAATTCCTTCCTTACTGTTTCTCTATCCATTTAATTTGTATCTCCTGTACATTCTCCAATCCAATTATTTTTAACTATATATTCCAATTTTTGTGATTTCTTAAATAAATTTACTAATTCATTAACAATTGTTTTTTTATTGAAAAATATCATTACTTATGCCTCTGTGAATTTATCAAATACATCCTTTAACAAATCAACTAATATCTATTCTGGTTATTCTATAGCCTCTTTATACATATGAACTATTGTATATGGAGATATTTGTTATTGAATAGATGGAATTACTCTAATATTACAAATTATTTCTTAGATATCATCTTCATCTTTTTTTAAGAATCTAGAATCTACTTTCTTACTTGAATCTACATTATTTTAAACACATTCCTTAATAAAAATTTAAATATCTTCTGGTTTCAAACTAGCACTCACAAAAATGATTTGATAACTTTAATTATTGGTTTAACCTAAGATGAATTATATTAATTGCATAGTTTCAACTCTTGCTTAATTTTATTCATTTTTCTCTAATAATTAATCAGCTTCATCAATTATTAAATATCTTAGATTTGAAACATTTATTATACGATTCTTCAATCCAGCTAACATTTTACTTGGATGACATAAATACACTTAACAATCAGCTTCTTCTATTCTATTCTCTTTTACTTATTGAAATTACTATACAATATTATAAATATAATACATTGTCTTTTGTTAATGCAAAAAATGTTTAAAATTTTAAATTTTAATTCTTCAATCTTTCAGGTAAATACCTTCTAAAATTCTCTTCATGTTATTTCAAATATATAGTCTATCCCAAAACAATTGTATACGGATATAACATTCTTACTTCTTTCATTGTATTGTCTTTCTACTTTATTTATTTTTATTCACTAATTTTTTGATGTTTGTCTTTAAATTCCTAATAAATAAGAGATTAGAAGCATAATGTTTTTCCACTTCCAGTTTAACTTCTTAAAGCAATAACAGGAAATTATTAATTGATTTCTTACCCTAAACAGTAATTTATGAATTCATATTGATGAGAATAAACAGTAGGTCCTATCTCTTTAAATTTGTTTATAATATCTTCTGCTAGGACTCCTTTTAAATCATCCCAATTTCTATCTTATTCAAGGTTTTGATCCATAAATTAATTTATACAAAAATTATAATTCTAATTATTTTATCAAAATTATGGATGAAGATATTAACATTAATATAAATAAACATTCTTAGAATCAAAAGAATATACAAAATTCAAAAACAGAAGCCAATTTATCAAATTTTCAAGTTTTGAAAAAGTTTGGAAATTTAAGGTTCCTTATTCATAATATTTAATCATTCAATAATAATTACCTGAAGAATATTTACAAAAGGATTTGCCTAACTGAATAATTAGCAATTCAGGTTTTTGATTATATTCTTGAAACACAAAACTAAAGTTTTTATTATTACATATAGATTAGAACAACTACTAATATGTTTATAAAGTATAAAACATTCAAATAAAAAAGATCTTAAAATTTAGTAATAATCATCTATCTCAAGATTTAACAATAAATTTTGAAGAGAACGGCATTTAAATCATGAAATTATGGGATAATAATTTAGTAAACTAGAAAAATTATATGTATTTTAATAAAGTCCAAATGTTGATAATATCAGAATTAATTTATGCTAGAAATTATAAAAAAAAGGATTGATTTTATGTTAATATTAATAAAATAAGATAAAAATTGAAAAGAATAAATAAAGTGTCAATCAGCTTATAAATGAGTGTCTTTTATTTGAGAGCGGTTCTAAAAAGGATTGGTAAAGATTGTATCAATATTGTTGATATAAACTCATTCTATTAAAAATAAAAGATTGATGATAAGTAATGATCTAAAATGGTTTAGGAAAAAACTAAAGCTATTCCATGAACTTCAAAAATTATTTTCTACTAAAATTTAATCTATTAGATAAATTTTTGATCAATTTAATTAATGGCAAATTAAACTAGTCATCTTCAGATTAAGTTTCAAAAGAAGTATCATCAAGGTTTCAGAAAAGAACAAAGTTAATAATAAAGTCATGAACAATTAATAAATTAATTAATCAAATATTTGAACATATTAAGAATTATTATGAAATATCAGAACTAACATCATTAATCTTAAAGCTTTTAGATTGAATGATTTCTAAGTTGAAAGCAGTAAGAAATAAATGATATTATAATTGAATATAATATTTTTTATTTTTATTAAATTTATAATTCTCAAATCTTATCTTATTAAACATCAATACCACACTCTCTACATTATATACAAATTCTTTTTTTGTTATTTATTACATAATTAATGATTTGAAGATGAATATTCTGTAAAACAACTGTTGGCAATCAAAAAGTTGAAATGATTATATTAATTATTTTTTTTATTTTATGAACGAACTCACAGATGGTATTCTTATTTCTATTTTAGAGGAACTCTTAAAACGAAGATATTCTATCAAAATTGTACTCTTCATTTAAATTTCAAAGTTATTCTATTTTATTTTCAAACTCATGATTTCTATGGGTATCTAAATAACAAATAAAGAATGTCAATTCCATTCTTATTTTATGCCTCTACAATTAATTGATTCATTTTGTTCGATTATCGATTCTATTGTTCTTGCATATCTCTACTTTTGGGACTTTAGGTCTATTAATAGAATCTTAGAAAACAACCACAATGAAAGAATATCTTTTTCATACCATAATAAAGCATATATAAATGTTATGACTTTATTAATAGCTATGTCAAATAGATATTAGATACTGTATAATATAATAGCATTAAGTTATTTTGCTTTATCAATTTATGGAATCTATTAATTAATACATTTACAATGTAACTATCCAAATGAAATTGTACCTACTGCAATTATATTTATAATACTAAGCTTATTATACTTTATAAAACAATTATATTTACTAATTAGATTGTATACAAAATATTAAGTTTACAAAATAATTGTAAAAATATGTTATTAGATTTTAGAGTGTAAATCCTTAATCAGAGGATGTTTGTTGTATATGTCTTTAATTATTATCATAAAAAGTTGTTTAATTATTATGCAAACATAAATTTCATTAAATATGTATTAAAGAATGGTTTAGAATAAAAAGCACTTGTCCAATTTGTAAAAGGGAATATGAAATAATATAATCTAATAATATAAACTATTTCTGACTTATTTATCATAATTATAAAAAAAATGTAATAAAAGTAATCTAAAAAATCAAAAGAAGAAGAACCAATATTTAATGGATAATTCAAGGACAATAGTGATGATGAAAATGATGATAAAAGAAAGAAGTAGACACTAATTATGAATGTATCAGGTAATTTATAAATTTAAAAAGAGATACAAAATATGATGTTGTGAAATTCGTTGGTAAAAAGATATTTAAATGGATATTGTAATATGAACCAGATGGAATTAATTGGGATATGTTTTGGACAGATGCAGCAGTTTAACCAGAAACTTTAGGTAAAATGTAACGTAAGTTTGTTAAACAATATTTTTAAAAGCCCATTAAAAAATAAATCACTTTCCTGGAATGTATTCTCTTGCACGTAAAAATCATCTTGGCAGAAATTTAATGAAAATGAGAAAACAATTTCCAAATGATTTTAAATTCTTTCCATAAACATGGTTATTACCAGCTGAATATGGAGATTTTAAAAATTAATTTGTAAAAGGAAAAGTAAGAACATTTATCGTTAAACCAGAAGCAAGTTGTTAAGGAAGAGGAATATTTCTAACTAGAAATATTAATGACATCAATCCAACTGATCATTATGTTGCATAAAGATATATGCATAGACCTTTTTTAATAGATGGATTAAAATTTGATTTAAGAGTTTATGTCTTATTAGCTGGAACTGATCCATTAAGAATTTATGTTTATTAAGATGGTTTAGTAAGATTTGCTACAGAATCATACGTTACTCCTACTACAAACAATTTAGAAGATGTATGTATGCATTTAACAAATTATGCTATCAATAAAGAAAATCCAAACTTTGTTTTCAATAATGATGCAACAAAAATGGATGTTGGACACAAAAGATCCATTAAATCAGTATTTGGTAAATTATAAGATGAAGGACATAACATAGAAAAATTATGGCAAGATATGTATAAATTGTTCATCAAAACATTCTGCACTGTCTAACCAATTCTAAGTCATCATTACAAATCATGTTAACCTGACAATTATGCAAATAATATGTGTTTTGAAATTTTAGGATTTGATATTTTCATTAATGATAAATTGAGACCTTTTTTATTAGAAGTGAATCACACACCAAGTTTCACAACAGATACACCATTGGATTCTTTAATAAAAAAGAATCTTATAAGAGATACATTAAAATTGATGAATGTAAGTATTAGAGCCAAAGAAGAAATAATCTCATCAAGGAGAGAATAATTATAATAACGAGTATTAACAGGAAAGAAATAAAAATTAACATAAGAAGAAAAGAATGTATTAATTTAATAGTGTTCTCAATAAAGAGATTAACATGAAAATAATAATTTAGGAGATTATGTTAAGATATATCCATTAGAAGATGCTTAAGATTATAATAAATTTATTGAATTTGCATCTCAATTATAAGATAATTGGACTGGAGCAAGTAATATTTATAAAATTATGATTAAATAGATATAAGAAGAAACTAAAAAAAAGAATAATCTGAAACTCCATAATCTTAAGCTAATAAACCTCCTACTATTCCAGTAAAAAAACCAAATACTCCTTAAATGTTTCCTAAAATTAGTGAGAGATAAAATAGAATTCAAGAATCAATTGAGCCTTAGAAAAATGAAGAATTAAAAAGCAAAACTTAATCAAGTTTAGGAAAAATAAAAAAAGAAACTAAAAGATAAATATCTGATCCACCTTTACCAAAATAACATTAGAGTATGAGAAATGTTTAATAAGCAATTCAATAATAATAAGGTATTCCATAGTAATTACAATAAAAATCATGTTTATAACCTAAATTATTTGAGTTAGACATTTTAAGTTCTCAAAACAAGTCTAATTCTTAAAATAAAAAATAAAACTAATTCAAACAATGACATGTTTAAATTTAAAAATTTTTTATAGTGATATATTAACTATAAATGTTTACAGTGATTTAAGTAGATATTTATAATAGTAATTTCAATATTATTAAATGAGTAGTGTTATACAATTAAACTCAATCTCTATAAAAAATGAGACTAATTGTGGATATTGCAATAGAGCTAAATCAAACAAATTATGGGTAACATCTGGATTTTATTGTTATAAAATGAAGGTTGATGAATATTAATAATTATTGGATAGGGGATGGAGAAGATGTGGAGTTTATTATTATAAGCCATCTCTTTCTTAAAGTTGCTGTTAAGCTTATGCACTTAGAGTTGTAGCTTCAAAGTTTTAAATGAGAATAACTCATGAAAAGGTTTTGAAACGGATTAGAAGAATTTAACCTATTAATATTGATTAAGGAAATGTTCCATTACAAAAAGAATAAAAAGAAAAAATATAAAATGATTCTTTTACAGATTTAATTAAGTAGAAAATTCAAACTGATTTGGATTTAAGTGATTTAATTATCTTACCAAAAGTTGGTTAGCATTATACTTTTAAAAGCATATAATATAAAGAAGAAGAACACATCAAATATTTTAAATCTATTATCATGAAAAGTTTATCTAAAATTACAGAATTATAGTTAAAACAAATTTTTGATATTTAAAATGAAAACCATTCAAACTTACTTTATTAAACTTTTATAAATTCAATTTCAGATCTTTAAATTTATGAAATTTTATTAATTAAAGGCTACTCTAATAAAGTAGAGAGTGATTGGGTTTTTGGATGCAATCTAATTCCCTATTTTTATTCTAAATTTACAATTATTTTCAAAAATTTAAATTTATAAATCTAGAAACTTGAAGAAAGCAATAAATACATAGAATTAATTTAAAATAATTTATAAAATCTTGATTTTGAATTTAAAATATCAGATCAAGATCATTAAATATTAATTAAGACACCTTAAACTTTAAAAGAGAAAATATTAAAATCTACTATTTTATCTTTACTTTAGAAATAAGATTTGCAATCGAATTAACCATAGGAGAAAAAACAAAAGTAATATCATCAAATTACAATTAAATGGGTGAAAGCATAATTCTAAGAGGATAGTTTTGAAGTTTATAAAAAATATTAAAAGTCTGTTCATGATAAAGAAAGAGTAAGTAAAATGAGTTATATAAATTTTGTATGTGTAGATGCTCTTGATAGTTAAGAATTGGGATGTTGGCATATGAAATATTATTTAGAAAATTAATTGATAGCAGTAGGTGTCGTAGATCTTTTACCTTAATCAGTATCATCAGTTTATTTTTTTTATGATCCTAATTATAAAAAGTATTCTTTAGGAGTCTATGGCGTTTTATAAGAGATAGAATATGTATAAAAAAAGTAAGTAATAAATCCATCTTTATAATACTACTATATGGGATTTTATATAATGGATAGTAAAAAGATGGCTTATAAAGCAGAATACACTCCTTGTGAATTATTGTGTCCAAGAACTTATAGATGGATTACATTTACATTGCAAATAAAAGAGAAAATAGAATCAATTACTTAGTACGCATAAGATGTGAGATTAGCAGATGAAAGGGATAAGGAACATGGATACAGTATTAATTTAGATGGTTCTACAATTGATGATATGAACTTTTAAGGTATTGATATTGAGAATTTTATATAATAAACTGTTAAGATATCTTAAACAGGAAAATAGTTCACAATTTCATAACTTAAGAAAAATTATTAACAATATTTCATGAACTTATTTTAAGACTTTCTTAAAAAAGTTGGCAAAGGATTGATGAAAGAGTTTTTATTTGCAGTTAATTGATATTATATTTTTAATAATCAAATGAATTTGTATTAAATCCTATATTAATTATTTTTTAATAATATTAAAATATTCATTATTACATATACTGAAAACTTTTTATATATTTCTCAAAATTAAGTCTCTAAATATTTAAGTTTTATTTTAAGTATTTTAATTTTTGTAAAATAAATAATTTATTACAAAATGAAATGAATATATTATTTCTTGATTCATATTATAATTTAATTTATCAAATCAAAATTATTAGAATTGATAATAAAAAATGACAGAAAAAGTGATCTAGATAATATTATTGATAAATTATGAAGTTTGTATGATACTATTGCAATATGAAGGTATTTAAAAATGAAAAAAATTGTTTTAGCATTTCAATAAAATATAACATTGATAATAAAAATAATTGATTTATTCATAATGGCATTGTGTGCTAGAGTTTTATATTATTTAAAAGATTAAAAGAAATAAGGTTATCCTTTAACAATTCTTTGCTTATTAAGAGTATCAGGGCAATTAACTTTAAATTATTTTTTTAAACCATAAATATTATCAGTAATCATAAACTTAAATCTTATTCATACAATATTTTAGGATTAATTAATAAGTGAATTAAGTTTAACTAAATTACCTTATTTATATATTATAGGGAATGTATTATTAGAATAACAATTTTCTGATTATTTTATAAATATTGGAATAGGATTAACTTGTATATCAATAATCTTTTAATTTCGTAGAAAAGATTTGTAATAAAAACCATAAATCAATCCTTAAAAATTATCAAAAGATTTTGATATTTGTATATCAGCATTACCTTAAAAGGAATTCGATGCTTATAAATAAGAAGATTTGAATGTATCAAATTGTAAAAGCCCTGTTTATGGAGGATTTTCACCATTAAAAGAATTATCAAAATCAATGGATTCTGTATTGATGGATGAATAGTAAATAAAATAAAATATAAAAATAAGCGCTTGGATTAAGGGACAATAATTTATTGTTTTAGATGATTAAGATAATATAATTATACAAACATTTAATGTGGCTGATTTTTCAAGAAATTCATTTAGTAATTCGATGGATAATGATAGTGTTGGTTCAATATTAAATTTAGCAATAGTATAAGGTAATCGAGATTTTCAAGATTTAATTGCTAGTAGTAGAACAATTAATTAAAGTAGATTTACATTAAAAGAGTTGATTAATAAATTAATTGGAGATTATGAATTATATAAGAATAATATGTTTATAATAAATAAAGTAGATGCTCCATGGATGAATGATTGGATGATAAAAATATTTTTAGTAGGTAAGAATAAGAAAACTTTTATATTTATTTAAATAGAATAAAAAGAAGTAGTATTGTAACCTTCTTTTTAAGCATTTTCATAATTTACAACTTATATAACTCCAAGTTTGAATTCTATAATGACTATATCAGTTTTGGCTGAGTAAGATAATCAAATCAATAATTATATGTTAGATAAGTATTTTTATCCAATAAAAATATCAAGTGTGATAATTTACTTATAATTAGCAAATATGAGGGATTTTAATCTTCATCATCAAAAGAAATTATTATTAAAAATAAGTAATATAGAGATTTCGACAATTTTTTAAGATTTAATAATTTTGGTATAAGATTCCTCTAAAGCTAAAGGAATTGAAATCAAATTAGAATATGAATTAAATGAAAATATTATAGAAACAGATGCAGAAAGAGTAATGTAAAATTTTCAATATTTTAGTTAAAATAATTAATGTTACCATTGATTAAATTTTGTATTAAATAAACTAAAGATGATAGTATAATAATATCTTGGAAAATGTTTACTTAAAAAAATTATTAAGTTATAATACATACACCAATTAATGTAGATGAAAAGGATTTAAGAATGATAAGATTAAATCTTAAGAAACATATACTTTAATTTTCTGAATTTAGTGTATGTCATATGTTGGCTCAATATTTATCAGGATCAATTAAAAAAGGTTTAGAAATAGCATAAATAGAACCTTATGGAACAGCTTTTAAATTTACATTATAATCATTTAATGTTAATAATGAAGAAATGAGAGCAATTCGATTGATTGGTCAAACTCATTATCAAGAGACTTCATTAAGTTAATTATTAGCATAGTAAGATACTTCAAAATAGAATGAAAAAACATATACATTATTTAGAGAAGAATCAAATAAAGTTTCTATGGATCATTCTCTTCATTTTTCTTAATCTAGAATATCAAAATAATAAAGTTAAAAGTTTTCAGAATATTAGAGCAATTATGTTTCTTAAATATCTAAGGTTAAAGCAGATTCAGTTAATATTCCAAATTCTAAATAAAAAGATTCTCATTCTTTTGATTAGATATCAAATATATTTTATTAAGATGAAGAAACCAAATAATAAAAACGAATAAATTATTAAACTACACCATCTTAATCTAATTATTAATTACCTCATTTCCCAGAAGCAAACATAAATAATAGTCTTGGTAATATTGTAAATGAAAATAATAGTGGAGTTGCTCCCAATAATTTATTGAATGATGCTAGAGAAAGAGAATAAACATTCTTAAGTTAACCTTAATTAACTGAATAATTAAAATAATAACCTACCTTATCAAATCTTTATTTAGATTTTGGAACTGATCCTTTTTCTCCAATTTAAATACCAATAACTGTTTCAGCTAAAATGTAAGGTGAAATCATTAAATTTTCAACAACAGGTAGATGTTGTTCAAGAGTTTTAATAGCAGATTGTGAATATTAGAATATATAAATACTGGAAATGATTTTATCCAAATTTAAAGTAAATTCTTCGAGGGCATTCAGTACTGAAGATGTAATTAAATTATTAGAGACTAAGAAAAAATGCAAATGTGGAAATATTGGATATGTTTTGTATTTTATAAATGTTGAATTACCAAAAAAAGGAGGTTTATGGCTAAGTAGATATATAAAAGATAAAATGTCATAGAAAGGATATATTATAGGAACTACTGGGCTTGTTGAATATTATTCTAAAATAGAATACTATCGTAACGGAATAGATTAATATATAAGTTTACCTTTTGATTTAGCAGAAGTAAATAAGATTTTATAAATTTCTCAACATTCATGATCTATATATGATTATTGCTATTAAATCTATTATTTAAAATATCTAATTAAATATAAATAATTAATATCATATTTAAGATTGTAATAAGAAGATTTTAAATGATAAGTTTATTAAGCAAATACTTTTTAATGATATATAATAATTAATCAATTGCAATAGTGTCTTCTTAAATCTTAAACTTTTTATAATTCTGCAACTCTTTCAATAATTTCATCTTTGATTCTTTATTTTAATTTAGGTTCATTTAAATGTTCTATTTCTTAAAGAAATTCTTATCTTTCTTCAATTTCTTTCATGATTGAAGAGAAAAGTACTTCTAATTCAATTTAAGGATCTCCTTATAATGTTGTTGCATCTGATTAATTATCGGATTTTAATCCTGTAAAGTATAAGTCTTTTTTATGCATTTTTTTTATGGCGTTAGAAGTAGTTTCAGAATCTTTAAGAAAAGCATCACTATTTTTAATATTAATTTCAGGTAATTCAGCACCTTTAGGTAATGCTCCTCTTTTATATTTAAATACTCGTTATAATTGTTCAATTAATTTTTTTCTATCTTATCCTTAGATTGCAGGTCTAAAAAATTTTCTGCCTTCATAATATTTATCTATTTCTTTTTTAATTTCAGCTTCTGGTTTTCTTTTTTGAATAAAATCGATGGGATAATATTATTATTATTATTTTGGTTCTTCTTTTGGATATTCAATAACAGTTTTTTGAGGACATGATTTTTAAGTTTTAAGTTTCTCAGCATCTAACTATTCTTAAGTTTTTTATTTAGGTTTAGGATAATTAATTTTAGGTTTTTCATGTGCATTATATAATCCAAAAAGTTCTTTTCCTAATGAGGTTTCTTTTCCAAATATTTTGTACAAGTTCTTCCTTTCTTCTTTAAGTTGTGGATCATCATCATCAGGTAAAAATTAATTATTCATTTAATTATAATAATAATAAATAAATGTAAGAGAGAGAAATGAGTGAAGAAGTAAGAAATGATAATCCTTATAGCAGATTAATGGCATTAAAAAGAATGGGAATAGTTGAAAACTATCGGTAAATATATGAGTAGGTGATCTGGGATAAGTTTTATGTGAAATATTTACATGGAGTAATTTGGAAAATTGATACAGTATGATTATGATAAGTTGAATTAGCAAATATGAATACGTAATTATGTTATTAAAATTTTAGATTATTTTTTACTCCATAATAAGTAGAATAATCAAAAGTTTAGGCAGCAAAATAAACTTTATAAATTGAAGCATATAATGAAACATTACATCAGGAAAAATACTTAATTAATTATTAGATAGAATGTAAAATGGTGCTCTTAAAGAAGGACCTATAAATCTAGTATTAATTTGTGTTGATAATTATGCTGTACGTATGACAATTAATAGTACATTTAATGAATTAGATTAAGTTTGGATGGAAAGCGGAGTATCTGAAGATGTTATGTCTGTTCTAGTTTAATTAATTTTACATAGAGAAACAGCATATTTTGCATATGTTGTAACTATAGCTGTTCTTCAAAATAATGAATAATAAATTAAAAGAGAAGGTGTATGTGCAGTTTCATTACCTACAACTAAGCATATTACTGCTGGTTTAAAATCATACACTTAAGTATTTATTAGGTTTTGGATAAACTACATTTCTATTTAATTATGATGTTTTAGCTGATTTCTGTTCAAATTATACTATTATGCCTAATCCTAAATTTAAAGATCCTAAATGCTTAAATTGACAATAACTTAATTATTCATCATTTTAGATTAAATAAATTATAATAAACAAATTAAAATTTTCTATTTTACAAAAAAAAAAGAATTATCAGAATCAAAATAATAAATATAATTCATACTGAAAATGAATGGGGAATTGAAGTTGTTCCAAATGATATACCAATCAATGAAGTATAAATTTAATAATAATTATTAAATTAATAACTATAACAATAATTAGAATAATAATAATAATAACAATATAATCATAGTTAGAATAATAATAATCCATAGACATAAATAAAGATAATAAAAATTTAGATAGTCAATTAAAGATATTTTTCTTATTCAATATATGTTATTTATTAATTTATATTCTAATATGAAAAAACATTTAATTATTGCCTTAATTTTAGGTTCCATATTTCATATAGTTGTTGATTTAGATTTCATAAAATAAGTTCAAAAAGTTGAAAACTATTCTGGATGTGAATATCTTAATTTAGATATTCCAGGAGCAGAAGATATAATCTAATATGAAAATCATCTTATTTTTGCATCAGGAGATTTAGCTGAAATTATAGCTAAGGGTACTCCACAACTAAAGTAAGCATCATTTTACATTATAAAAAATGCAAATCAAGAATCAAAACCAATAGAAATGAAAATTAATGGATTTCCATCAAATATTGCCTTTTATCCTCATGGACTACATTTATGGAAATAGAATTCTGATAATTATATTTTCGCAGTTAATCATGCCTATATTTATGGAGGAGAGAGAGTAGAGATATTCCGAATAGTTGATGATCTACATTTAGAATATGAACATTCAATTATTATGGAATAATAATACACAGGAACTCTAAAAGACTTAATAGTAGTATCTAATGATCGATTCTTCATTACAAAATTAATGCCATATACAGATCCTATTGAAGGGTAATTAATCAATATTATTAAAACTTAGTCGTTCTAAATGGGGAATAGGAATGAATATCAAAAATTTTGGGGTTTTAGCATTAAAATTCTAAAAAACAAACATATTAGATTGTTCATTTGATATGAAATCTATTTAAATAATCCCAAATTGTCATCCTGTATCTACTTAATTATTTAGTTGGGCAGGAGGTATTACATGGGATTAAGATAAAACTGTTTGGGTTGGTGATAATTTAAGAAAAACTATTTATTAATTTAAAATATTAGAAGAAGGATTAGTAAAAGAAAATTCAATAAAATTACCACATTAAATTGATAATATTAATTACGATAAAATTAATTAAAAATTGATTATTGCAATGAATCCTAAAGCTTATTAAACTATTCTATTGCATTAACACTTAAAAAGCAATGATTTAAGTAGAGAATCTACTTATACCACATGGAGTAGTGTTGGTGAATATTCATTAACAACAAATTAAACCAAAATAATTTATTAATCAAATTAATATATTAGAGGAATTTCAAATGCCTTAATAATGCAAGGTAAATTATATTTGAGTAGTTGGGCAGATATTGCTCCGATGGTCTGTTATAAATATGAATGATTTATTTATTATAATTGATAAGATAATATACTGAACTATTATTTTATATCGCAAAATTGATTATTGATAAATAATTATTAATGAATAAAATATTTTCAAAGCCACTTGATGAAACTTGTGATAATCCTTAATTACATGAAGCAACAAAAATGTTTCTTACAATGAATAAGGAGAACCATACAAGAGAAGAATTACATTATATTTTATAAAGAATGGAAGAACTTCCTTACTTTAAACAATTTGTTTCAGAGAAATTACAAAAAGGAACACAAAGAAATGATATTTTGGAAGTACTTTTAAGTTTATAATCTTAGTTATGTTCTCGTTTAAGGATGGAATACTTTAAAGGAGGAGAAGTGTTGTTCTAGGAGAATGATACATCAAATGATAAACTTTATATAATATAATATGGTGAAGTTATGTTGATGAGGTAGAAAAAAATGGATTAGCTGATGTTATAGAGATAGAATTCAGAACATGGTCAACAACAATAAATAAAAATTTCTTAAATTTTAAATGCAAAGAAGTTCACAAGCAAAATAATAAGACATCATAACATTCATAAAGAGACAACTATTTCAAAGGATGAGAAATAATAATTAGAACATAAATATGGAGAATGCATAAGATTATTAGGAGTAGGCACAGGATTTGGAGAGAAAGCTTTGGTTGAGAACATTCCAAGGTCATTAACTGTTGCATGTTATAGTCATGAATTATTTGTGATAGTTTTAAAGAAAGATGATTTTATAACATATTAGATGACATTTGAAAAAACAAAGAAAGAGAAGTAGCAATTAATGTTTAAAATATTTAAAAGTAAAGTTATTAATTAAATAATTTAGATGTGAATAATGAATATTCATCTTAAAGATTAGAAAGTATGATTTATAGTTGTTAGACAATAACTTATGATAGAGGAACTTATTTAACATTAGAAGATGAAGAAGGTGATGCATTTTATTTAGTAATAAATGGAGACTTGACTCTATATAAAAAAATTGATAATAGAAATGTGTCTTTATGCATAATATCATCAGGACATTTAATTGGTGAAGAAATTATAATTAATAAAACTGGCAATTATGAATATAGTTGTTCAGTTACATCTTTATTAGCAACTGTGATTGTAATAGATGCTAATGAATTTATTCATAAGTTTCCTGAAGAATGCAGATTATAATTAATAGAAGATTATGGTTCTAAGACTTTAAATAGATAAAGATTGTTATAATAATTAATATAAAAGAAGAAAGCTTAAAATTCATCAAATAAAATACTTACTAATGAATAAGTAAGATTGTTAACAGAGATTGATGATGTTGTTATTGATTAAAATAAGAATCATATTGTTGAAAGTATTAGAAAGTAAAAAGAAATTCAATTGAATCAACATTTTTTAACTAATTATTCAAATCCTAGTGTATAAAACTATTGCATCTCTAAAATTATAGATAGGGAAAAAACATTTCATAAATTAATTAAGAGTTGTGAATTCTAAGAATTTGATTTTGGGTATGGAAGCAATGATATTATCAAGAGAAGAAGATTTATGTTAGAAAATAAATTAAATTTAAAGAAACCTCCTGAAAATTATCTAAAACCTTAATTTCATATTCTTCCTCTCACTGTTAAGAGAGAGGTGGTCAAAAGTTTCAGACTAAATAATAAAAAAAGTGTTTGTTATTCTAATTTTAATATTAGTACACTCACAAAAGTATAGAAAATAAAGAAGTAAGCACCTTTGAAAATAAAGGAATTGATAACAACAGCTCGACCTTCGCAATAATAATGTGATAGCTATAGTACACATATGTTTACTTAGATTGATGATAGACAATCTCTTTGATTATAGTTTTATATTATGGATAATTTATATATATATATATATTTATTTATTTAATGTCAATATCATTTAAAAGAAACAGTTATGCTATCAGTTCTCTCTTAAATTATGTAAATTCTGATGAGACTTGTAATTTAAAAGCAATCATTTATTAAAATCATATATCTTCATGTAACAATAATTAAATAATTATAAATTTAATTGAATACTTTATAACTGTACAACAATAATCAACAATTTAGTAAATTTGATTTTCAATACATTAAAATATAAATAGATAAAAAAATTCATACAAAAAAAGAAGTTGAGTAATGAGTTCATTATTACAATGATCCTTATTATCATAAACTTTAATATATTAAATTTTATTTATGTTATCATTTTAAGAATTATCTTCAATAAATAAATAAATATAAAACATAATATTTATTTAAAATAAATTAAAATCATCTAAAAATAAAATTATTTTTATAAGTCAAAATTTAAAATAAAAAATTAAATTCGATAATCCATTACAATAAAAAACCATAAAATTGTAAGAATCATATGAAACAGATTAATAAATCAAAACTATAATTGTAAATGATAATTTGTGATATCGATTAACGGTATTACACACAGCTTCTTAAGAAATAGTTCTTTGATGATATACTATTATTTATAGAAAGGAATAGGAATAGAAGATAATAAAGGTTCATCTCGATTACATTGGACTACTTATTTAAGAACATATAATGCAGTATATATTTAATCTCATTGAATGCTTATTTCAATCTTCAAGATATAAATACTTAAGTTACTCCTTTGCATTTAGCAACAGTGTAAGCTAATTCTAAAATATTTCGAGAACTTTTATAACAATCGTTTAATAAAAGATTTTAACAGAAAAACTCCCTTAGAATTAGAAATTGAAAGTGATTTTAAAACAATTGCAACAATGATTGTATATATTGTTAATAATTCAATATAGATAAAAATAACATGCTTATCTTTTGTAATGTTGGATAACCATTTAGACCAGTAACTTCAAAATGGAATAAATAAATTGCTTTTCTGATTATGTATATGACGTTTTTGTACTAACATATACTGTTCATTCTCCCATATAAATATCTTAATTTTTGATAATTCATTTACTTAATAGAAATGCAACAATTTAAAAATACACAGAAGTATCACTGTAATATTTTTCTTTATTTTTTTTGTTAAAGATGCTGGAGTAGTAACAACAGATCCTAGATTTTAAAAAATATGATAATTCAAATATATGCACAGACTGTAAAGTATTATTGCATACACTTATTGTAGTTAGTTAAACCTAAAAGATCAAAGCATTATGAAGTATGTTAAAAATTTATAATGGTATATGAACATCATGGAGAAATAATTGTGTTGGAGCGAAGTAAAAAATATTCTGTAAATATATAAATCATATTTTTTTCTTAGTTTGTTTTCTGAATTTGTTTGAAAATTTAAAGAAGGTTTTAAAATACAGATTATTAAATTTATAATAGGAAAAAAGTTTACATTTTCTTAAGTCATCATATATTTTTTCTAATTATTATAACGTTTGGGTAATTGAGATTTTTGATTAAGAATTCTGATTAAGATTGAAACCATAAATTTATTGACTGGATAAACAACATATGAAAGATATAATTTAGGTGCACCTTATTGTAAGAAAATCTTAAGATAAAATTATAATAAATAAGAGTGAAAATTAATGAATGGAATTAATAGAATAAGGATAAGATTGAACATTATAATGATAATAATAGAATAAAGTTTAATAATAATAATATAATATGTAATAATCAAATTTAAGTTTGGAAAATTGTTTTGATATGTGTTTTATAAATAAGAAGAAAATGGAATATAGTAGTGAATTATCAACAGAATTTATTGAACTATGAAATTATTATATAAATAAAAATAAAGATGTAAAAATATGAAGAATTAAAAATAGCAATTACTGGAGCTGCTGGTAATTTAGCTTCTGCATTGTATGATAAAAAATATTGAAATATAGTTATCCGCTTTTAGGTTCTGGTTAAGTGTTTGGATCAACTCAGAAATTCTCATTGTAACTATTAGAATTACCAGATAAATTACAAGAATTAGAAGGAATAAAAATGTAAATATAAGATTGTGCATTTCCTTTATTGAATAATGTGATAGTGTCAAGTGATCCAGCAATAGCATTTAAAGATGCAGATGTAGCAATATTTTTAGGAGCAATGCCTCGTAAACCTGGAATGGAAAGAAGTGATCTGTTATAAATGAACAGAGAAATATTTATACAATAGGTTTGATATTCAAAATATAAATACAGGGTTAAATCTTAAATGATTAAGCTAAAACAACTGTTAAAGTTTTAGTTGTGGCAAATCCTAGCAATACTAATTGTGCTACTTTGGCTCATCAATGTAATAAAATTCCCTAATCAAATTTTACATCTCTTATGTAATTAGATCATAATAGATGTGTCTCTACTGTATTATTATAATGATTCATTTTAGCTTGCAAGAGAAGCAAATACAACAATAGATTAGATTAAAAAAGTTATTATCTGGGGCAATCATTCTCTTACCTAATATCCAGATATGACTCATTCAATTATTAATAGCAAATAAGCATCAGAAACATTTTCTAAAGATTTCTTAAGAAATGCTCTTATTTAATAAGTTTAATAAAGAGGAGGCTAAATATTATAACTATCTAAAGGAGCTAGTACTATTTCAGGAGCTATTGCTGTTAAAGATCATTTGAGAACATGGTTTCTAGGTACATCTCATGATAATTGGACATCCTTTGGAGTATTCCTAATTATTATTTTTTAGGTAATTTCTGATGGAAATCATTATCAAATACCCAAAGGTATTTGTTTTTCATTACCTGTGACTTGTAAAGATTTTGAATTCTAAGTTGTTGCTGATGTAGAATTAGATGATTTCTCTAAACAAAGAATTTAATTATCATTAGTTGAATTACAAAAAGAGTAATAATGATAATTATTTATAAATCAATCAAAATTAATGATAATCAAGATATTATTATTTATTACCATTCCTAATAATTAATTAATCTTGAACACCTTCTCATTTCATAATTTTTCTTCTTTAATCCTCAATCAAATTTACATTCATTTAAATATATACTTTCATTAAATATATTCGATTTCTTTATCAAAATTCTTCTATTATCAAATTTTTTTTGATTTTATATTCCAATCTATTCATAAAACTTTCTTTAAATCAAAAATTAATTTTTGGATTTTTCAAAAGATTTATTAAATAATCTATTTATTAATACATTAAAAACAAGAAAATTCTCCTAAAAAAAGTAAAACCTTTAAAAAATGCTTTTGGTATTTATTATAATAAGTTTTATGATAAACTTGCTTTTTTGAATTCATATTATTTAACAGCAACACAATAATATTATAACATTAAAAGAAGAAGTGAGCTTATATTAGATGTTAATATAGATAGTAAATATACCATCTAATTAGTTAATGATTTATTTAGACCAATTATGAATAGAGTTCCTATTTATCTAATCAGATTGCAGATATTTTTCATTTTACCAAATTGTTATAATCATTTTGAGATCCCTATTTAGATCAAACACATTTCATGTTTCTACTGCTCCAATTAGAAGTGATTAGCTATATTAATGTGTAGCTATTTTCAATAAATGATAAAAATTATTCTTTATTAAGAATATTATTTATTCATTGAACAATTCTTGAAATTATGGCATATTAATAATTATCTTATATATTTTCATTCCAATTAACCTATTTTTTAAGATAGAACATCTGTGCTTTCAATTATCTTTCTTAGGTTTTTCTGCCATGCTATTATTAAATCTTGTATCATTAAATTTTTAGGTGTAGGTTTTTATTTAATTGATTTTTTTTGTTATTTTTACTAACGTTTTGATTTTAAACATCTTTTAGTTATTGTCTTCTTGGATAATGGAATTAAACTTGGTTTTGTACTACCTAATATTATAACATCATCATCAGAATTATCTTATCTCTTTGATCTTGTTAATATTGCTTGGGTAGCAGATGTTTTCCTATTTCTCTTAAATTTTAGCTTTTTTGATTTCAATATAGTTTGTTTAGGATTTTCTTTGATTGGAACTTATGTCAAGTTGATCTCTAAATCATCTATGCTCATATTTATTACTTATTTTCTAATGGGATTAAAATAAGTAAACTTATCTAAAAAGCCTTCTAATTATTAGGAAATTTAGTTTTTGAGAACCAATAAAATTATTGCATATAAAAACAAAGAGTAATTCAATAATTTTATAGATTTTCAAATTAAATTGTCAACACTAGTCTTTAATTCAAAATAAATAAATATATAATTATGCAATTTTATGATTTCCTCCCTGCTCCAAATCCCTTAATTTAGGCCACAGATCCTGAATTGAATACTAAAATGTATGCAAAATAAGTTAATTAGAATGTAGATTAAAAAAAGAGATGAATTTAGTGAAAGAGATTCATTTATGAACCTCTGGGATTATTTTACAGATAATAAATAGAATCTCATTTATTAACGTTATGATAATTATCCTTGGTCTATGATTCCTTTAAACAATCATCGTTTTGCAGCATCTTGTTTCTTCGATTGCAAAAAGTTGATATCCTTAAACAGAGAAATTAAATTAACCGAATTTTAATCAATCTTGTATAAAAACCTATTTCCCACTACAATGAAACAAAAGGAATTTAAAACTTTGTAACTTGAATAACACTCTAAGAACTATGATGGGTTGAAATTCGATTCACATTTTGAAAGTTCAAATTTGTTTGCATCATTTAGAATTAGTTCATAAGAATATGATTTAGTTATGCAAAATGATACTAATTCTAAAGGACATACTTAATGGTTTTATTTTTCTGTTGAAAATACTTAGAAAAATGTTGTTGTTACATTTAACATTATAAACTTTGTAATTACCATTATATCATAAAGCCTAACAGATAAAAAATGACTCACTATTTAATAAGGGATAGCGACCAGTTATCTATTCAAATAAATCCTAGAAAAATAAAGGAGTCGGTTGGGTAAAAGCTGGTACTAATGTTGTTTATTTTAAAAATAAATATAAACGAGAAAATAGTACTACAAAAACATATTATACGTTAACTTTCTCTTATAAATTTGAGTATTCAAATGATAAAGTCTATTTTGCATAATGTTATCCTTATACTTATTCGCAATTAAATTTATTTATTGATAGAGTTATTAAAACAAATAAAGTAAAATTTATTCTTATAAAAGCATTCTGTTGTAAAAGAGTTATGCAAGACTATGACAAAATAATACTGTCCTTTAATTACAATCGGAAATGGGAAAAAAGCAATATTATTGATGGCAAGATAACATCCTGGAGAAACTCCAAGTTCTTTTGCAATAGAAGGAGCTATTGAATTTTTAATTAGAAATTGTATAGAGGCTGAAATTTTAAGAAATTATTTTACTATATACATAATACCCATGATTAACCCAGATGGAGTAATTTTTGGAAATTATAGATGTAATTTATATGGAACTGATCTGAATAGAAACTGGGTAAATCCACATAAGGAATTACATGATTCTGTTTGGTATATTAGAGATTTAATTAAGTAAATTAATTAAACAAATGACTTAAGTATGATAATTGATTTTCATGGGCATTCAAGAAAGTATAAGATTGTCTAAAAATAGATTTAATAGCTTTTTTTATGGCAATAGTGGAGNATAATAAATAGAATCTCATTTATTAACGTTATGATAATTATCCTTGGTCTATGATTCCTTTAAACAATCATCGTTTTGCAGCATCTTGTTTCTTCGATTGCAAAAAGTTGATATCCTTAAACAGAGAAATTAAATTAACCGAATTTTAATCAATCTTGTATAAAAACCTATTTCCCACTACAATGAAACAAAAGGAATTTAAAACTTTGTAACTTGAATAACACTCTAAGAACTATGATGGGTTGAAATTCGATTCACATTTTGAAAGTTCAAATTTGTTTGCATCATTTAGAATTAGTTCATAAGAATATGATTTAGTTATGCAAAATGATACTAATTCTAAAGGACATACTTAATGGTTTTATTTTTCTGTTGAAAATACTTAGAAAAATGTTGTTGTTACATTTAACATTATAAACTTTGTAATTACCATTATATCATAAAGCCTAACAGATAAAAAATGACTCACTATTTAATAAGGGATAGCGACCAGTTATCTATTCAAATAAATCCTAGAAAAATAAAGGAGTCGGTTGGGTAAAAGCTGGTACTAATGTTGTTTATTTTAAAAATAAATATAAACGAGAAAATAGTACTACAAAAACATATTATACGTTAACTTTCTCTTATAAATTTGAGTATTCAAATGATAAAGTCTATTTTGCATAATGTTATCCTTATACTTATTCGCAATTAAATTTATTTATTGATAGAGTTATTAAAACAAATAAAGTAAAATTTATTCTTATAAAAGCATTCTGTTGTAAAAGAGTTATGCAAGACTATGACAAAATAATACTGTCCTTTAATTACAATCGGAAATGGGAAAAAAGCAATATTATTGATGGCAAGATAACATCCTGGAGAAACTCCAAGTTCTTTTGCAATAGAAGGAGCTATTGAATTTTTAATTAGAAATTGTATAGAGGCTGAAATTTTAAGAAATTATTTTACTATATACATAATACCCATGATTAACCCAGATGGAGTAATTTTTGGAAATTATAGATGTAATTTATATGGAACTGATCTGAATAGAAACTGGGTAAATCCACATAAGGAATTACATGATTCTGTTTGGTATATTAGAGATTTAATTAAGTAAATTAATTAAACAAATGACTTAAGTATGATAATTGATTTTCATGGGCATTCAAGAAAGTATAAGATTGTCTAAAAATAGATTTAATAGCTTTTTTTATGGCAATAGTGGAGCAGATTCATTAAAAATATTTCCTTTAATATGTTCTAAAATATCAAAAATGGTAAATTTAAGAGATTGTTCTTTTAATATTCATGAAAGTAAAAAGAAGACTGCAAGAGCTGCTTTATAAGAGGAAGTTAAAAGTGGATATATTTATACAATAGAATCATCTTTTCATGCATATAAAAGATAATTTACATAGGATTTTACAGATTTTCATTATAAAGAATTAGGTGCAGATATTGTACTTTCAATATTTAAATTATATTAATAAGAAATGATTTAATTTACTTTTGAGTAGAATTTACATATTAAATTACCTTGTACTATAGATTAATAACAAAATAATGACTTAGACATATTTATTAAAAATTATGATTTAAGTTCATTAAAATTAAATTAAGATGATTCAGGTAGTGATTCTAATCCTGAAGAGGATGTACTTTAAGAATCAGAATAGATATCGATAGCAGATTGTAAAAAGTAGAGTAAATCATTAATAATATCAAAAAAGAAAATGTTTAAGATAGATAAAAGTACTTAAACAGACATATCACATTTTTAAAATTTAATGTTAGATGAAAAGGTCTTATAAAAAATTGAAGAATAAGTGAAAACACTGAGAAAGAATTATAATATGGAGACATTAGGTGTATTAAGTAATGATGTAGAATTGTAGGAAGGATAGAAGTGTGAATTTTAATAAACCGAAATATCATTGTAATAGATTTTGGGAAGAATGTAAGTATATCATGTAAGAGTGTCAAATAAGTAAGATAGTTTAATTAAAATAAGGAATTCTATGTTTTAGCATTAATTTACAACTTAATCTAGTAAACCAGTAGTAATAGTATTAAAGAATCCATATTCAAAATAGTAGTTGCAATAAAATTAATTAAATTAATATCAATAAGAATAGTTATCATTAAAAAACAGACGAAGAGTAGCTTCAATAAATGGAAGATGTTCAATCGAATCAAAAAGATAAGCAAACGATAGAAAATACAGCATATAGCATTATCATGGATATAGTTATTAATAAAACACCCCAATGAATTATGTGACATAAGAAATAACATTTGATAAGATAGCAAATTTTAGCAAAGCTAGATTTAATGATAAATAAATAATTAAAAACTAATTTTGATTGATTAAAAAGTCATATTTTCCATCTGATAGAAATAATAAATAATTTTATGAAATTTAATAAAATGAGTCTAAACGAAATGAAATAAGTGAGGGGTTGATACATATTTATTAATTTTGTAATTGTACATTAATAATTTTGTAAATTATAAATGGGTTTGATATCATATTACTGTTTGCTAGTGGTCGTTTTTATAGGTTTGATTCTATATGATCTTATATTTTATACGACATTTCAAAATGATATCTGTCCTCCAATAGAGTATACAGAGGCAAATGCAGATGAGACAACAACAAATGATACGGCGGCAGATGAAAATGCAGCAGGGAATCGAATATTAAATATGGATGAATTTATAAATTCTTAAATTGCAAAATAAGATGAGACAGATGAAACAACAACAGATGAAACGACAACAGATGAAACAGCAGCAGCAGCGGATGAAGGTACATCTTCATCTGCATTTGCAAATAAATTAGTATATTTGTTATAGTAATAGATAACATTACCATTTATTATAATTTTGCTTTATTGTGGAGTGATTGGTTTAATCATTTTAGCAATGCTAGGAATTTATTGTTTTGGTAAAATGCCTAGTGAAAGATTTGGAAATTTAAGTATATATCAATTGATATAAATTAGATATGTGTTGGGCTTGTCTAGGAATTTATGTAAGAAATTTTGCTGTCTTAACTAGATTATTATCTTGGCTTGGTATTTTATTAATGGCTGTTCATGCTATTATAACTATAACGGATGAAGAATGTTAAGCAGCAGTTCATGAATACATATAAAATAGAATTATATATCCTACGGTAATTAAATCCATTCAATATTGATAGGAAGGAGCTATGTATTAAGAATCAATTATCTTAATTTTTGTAAACCTGTGTTTTTGGGGTGCTACTCATTGTATATTACCATCCCTTAAATTATTTATTGATGCTGAATCATTCTTATATGAACCATTTGACAGAAATAAAGGATTAGCTTATTGGTTCTGTTGTATTATGCTTGGACCGTGAATATTTATAAATCAATTTATTTTATTATTAAACTATTTCAAAACTAATTATAGATGATTAAACATCCTTTTCGTTCCCTTAATTTAATTGTTTTGTA